GCTCACGCTTTTTCTCGGTCTGCCTCTTCTACTTGTCCAGACACACTACACAGTGCCAGACACGGAGCGCGATGTGGAATCTCTCAACGCCACCATTGAGTGCGAACAGCCACAGCCTGACCTTTACAAGTAGGCAATCATCATGTGGTCCCAACGGATTTACACTACAAGCATGTGGTGTCTGTGATCTGCTGAGGAGTGGATTAACTTAATGCCAGATTAAAAAAAATGTCTGCAATGACTCTGATATTAACATGCAGATTGTTAATCGGCAAGCCATAGTGCATTTATGGGATAATAACTTGGTCTCTCCAAGACTAACTTAATTCTTACTTAAGTGTAGTTCTATGTCTAAAGACAATATGTCTATATAGGTCAACTTTGGAGCAAGCAGTGAAACTATTATAATTTAAAATCATACCTGAAGATGAAGGTGTGAATATTTCGAGCTAATGAAAGTGACAATATAGCTGACTACAAGTATTAGGCAGTACTCTAAACTTCCAGATTTTAAGGTCAGTGAATATTTAGCTTTGAGTAATTAATGAACTCAGAAAAGATTCGAATACCTCAAGTTCAAATCTCTTCCACTCTTAACACAATAGTTGCTCACAAATCACTTCATCTGTTTGAGCATATGCCGTTGTGTTCCAGGTTTGTTGGTCGTATGCACATCTACAAAAACAATGAGGAGCCTTCGCTAAGGTGAGAGCACTCGTGTCCAACCAAGTCTGCATAGTTTAAAGAAACAAAATCTAAACAGTTGTTTATTTGTTTCCCTTTACATAACCAGCAAATCATTATTTCCTTGGTCCTTTATAGCAGACAAGCATTAAAATAAAAACAGACTGGCAGGGATTTAGCCACTGCTTCCAAAGCACTCCCACAGGCATTTATCATTGACTGCTTTGTAATGACCATATAAACAAATGCCAGTGTCCTTCTCAAGAACACTGGAACCGGTGTGAGCCCAGACTGCAGGCATACTGTGTACTGTCACTGCGTATATTAGAGTGGATGCCAGCTTCCCTGCCAGGTTTCCATTTAGAGGATAGAGGGGTGTGGATTCCACAGCAACTGTATGACTAAATAGGTGGATCTACTGATGTGATTGTGCAGGTCACTGGGCCCAGAAAACCTCCTGCTGAAAGGAGCAACTTTAAAGAACACTCAAAGCATCTGTGGTAAGTCAACAATAGCTTTTTTACTGGTACCATATTAAAGATGGCTCGATATCTTAAAGACTGATGTTTTTTCTTATTTTCTTTTTTAAGGTGTTGCAGTTTACACCGGCATGGAGACAAAGATGGCTCTTAACTACCAAGGGAAATCTCAGAAACGCTCTGTTGTGGAAAAGTAAGTTTACAGGGAAAAACAATATGTATAAAACAAGTCTTAAAAAATACCTTTGATACTCACTAATTTGAGTTTTTATGTCTACAGGTCTATCAATGCCTTCCTTTTGGTTTACCTTTGCATATTAGTGAGCAAGGCCTTAGTGTGTACTACACTTAAGTATGTATGGCAGAGCAAGCCTGGACAGGATGAGCCCTGGTACAACGAGAAAACTCTGAAAGAAAAGGAAACCAATCTGGTGAGTTTGCATTTTAGAAAACTAATGAAAACAAACATTATAGGAAAAAAAGGTGACTGAGGAAAATAAAACATGTCTAAAGCAGAACTAGAAGAACAGCTGTTGCAAGAAAAATGGCTAATATGGCTTGTTAGATAAGTTTCATCCTACTGTTATTGTGTACTACATACATACATACTGAGGCCTATGTTAATTCAATAGTAATTATTATAATCCTTAAAGGGCTGCTGAGGGAACTCTATACATAGTTTTAAAGTTCTTATAAAATGAGCAAAATGGCCACTGTTGCCATATGAGGTAGTCCGTTTCATGTCATCTGTTAACCTTCTGCTTTAGCCCGCATTGAACATTGTGACTGCCATTTCCTCATTTTTGTTGCAAGTATAAACAGTGACGTCTAGGACTGCAGAATGGTTTCTTAGAATTGCTTAGGTTATGGAGAAAATGATGCAAACCGCAACTCACTCTTTCTCTCTCTCTCTCTATACATATATATACAGTGTGTGTATATATATCTCTCTCTCTATATATATGTAAATATATTATGTGCCTCTTTGTTTTTTTTTACCAACAGTACCTTAACATGTTCACCGACTTCCTGTCCTTCATGGTGCTCTTCAACTTCATCATTCCAGTGTCCATGTATGTGACCGTTGAAATGCAGAAGTTTTTGGGATCGTTTTTCATATCCTGGGATAAAGATTTCTTTGACAGTGAAATTGAGGAAGGGGCACTGGTCAACACCTCGGACCTCAACGAAGAGCTGGGACAGGTCAGAAATATCTGTCATTATGCTTTCTGTAAACTCTGCATTTCTGTGTCCAAAAATGTTCAATTATGTTAACTAAATTCCTCTATTGTTTATAAAAACTCTGAAGCTTTTCCTGAACATTTCATCTCCAGCATCTATGAACGATGTCCAGATGTAATCTGTAGAACAATCACTAGCACTATGATGTAGTTTTCCATCCAAAGTTGTTTATATTTTCTACTGAATTTTGTGTATTTTAAAAAGCAAAACTTCTACCCGAGACGAATGTAAGTGCTTCTTTAAAATGAATTCTCCTTGTTTCGTTTTTATTATGGCACTGCTGACTTAAAGGGCGCTGCCATAGATCAGTCACACTTGGTTTGCCAGATTATTATTTGAGTTAAAGGTGATGCTCCGTTAAACTGATTAATGTAGTGTAATTTCCTCTGGGAAGTAATCGCTTAATATTATTGTTGGAGGCTTTTAAACGAGAAACTGAATTTTTATGGTTTTGGAAGTGTGTGTCATTTTTATTTTCATGTTGCCTGTAGGTGGAGTACGTCTTCACAGACAAGACGGGGACCCTAACTCAGAATAACATGGAGTTCATAGAGTGCTGCATTGATGGCCACCAATACAAGTACAGGGATGCGAGCTCGGAGGTGGACGGATTCTGCGTTACAGATGGACCTGTGAACACAGTACAACAGAAAGCTGGCAGGGTGAGCGTTGTGGTGTCCCGCCATCTGTTGTAAAAGTCATACAAGGATTAACATATGGCCATTACATAGCTCGATGCCCAGAAAGACCCTTTATTGGTCACCCTGGTACATTCTCCTTGACATGTCGACATATGCGCTATAACATAGCGGAGGGAAGGAGGTGCATGCTCCTGACACGAGTGCTTGATAACACTTCACAGACTATTGCACTTAATTACTTGTGCTGATAAGGGGTCAGTTTGGTTATAAATTCTAGGCGTTATCCAAACTCCAGCTACTGTATATAGCTCCTTGTTTGGTTGTTAATAATTAAGTAAAAAAAAAGATTTATGAATTTATTTTAAGGTTTATGAATGAATTTTCTACTTGTAAAGCCCTATAATTCTTTTTTAATAGTATTAAGCCACGTTTACGTAATTTTCATAGGAAAGGGAAGAGCTGTTTCTGCGTGCCCTGTGCCTGTGCCACACAGTCCAGGTAAAGGAGTCTACAGAGCAGGGTCAAGGTCAAGATGGACGGATGGACCAGGTGGATGGATTAATGGTAGATGGACAAGTGGTCCCTCCACTGCAGGAGCAGAGGGGCTTTATAGCCTCCTCACCTGATGAGATTGCTTTGGTCCAGGGTGCAATGAGGTAAGAGGTTGGGTGTGATTTCAGGTGGCTATTTGACAAGCACACAGTTGGAATTGATAAACCTAAGGAAAATGTAACTGGTATAATTTCGTTATAATATTTATTGAGAACATAAAAGCAATTTGTGTTTTGATTTGTCTCGATCTCAGGTACGGCTTCACATTTCTTGGCCTCGAAAGTAAAACCATGAAAATTCTCAACAGGACAAATGACGTTGAAATGTAAGTTAGTCGTTTCTTGGAATGTCTTTTCTTTTTTAAAAATCTCAGTTATTAAGATAAGATAAGATAACCTTTATTAGTCCCACACGTGGGAAATTTGTTTTGTCACAGCAGGAAGTGGACAGTGCAAAAGTTATGAAGCAAAAATTAGAATACAATAA